ATAAAGGTCAAAGCGATAGCTCAGAGAGGGCAGGTGGTTGGGGGTCACTTCCTGATGTGTGCCTCCGCCATGTCTTCAGGTGCTTTCCGATGAAGATCGTGTGAGTGCAGATCTGGTTAGTTGTCACTGGCACCAAGTCATGCACTCTCCATCTCTCTGGCGCTTCCGCTTCTTCCACTTCAACGGCCGTCTATCCAAATACACCCAGTCTGAGTACTGCTCTGCTGTTGCCTACGCCCGCAGTCTAGGAGTCTATCTGGAGTCACTTGAAGTGTGTCTGTGTCCCCCACGCAAGTCCTCGATAGCCCGGCGGTTGGAGCAGACTCTCACCGGGCTGTTGTCCGAGCTTACAAGGTAAAGGAGTGTGTCTGGCCCACCCAATCATAATCTACATTTTAAACAATTCAGCCCTGCCTTAGACTTTAACTGACATGCCAACAAACTGAACTCTCCTTGGCTTCCACAGTGTAAAGGCCCCGCTCCGGTCACTTTCCATTGTAAAGATGGAGTTGGAACGGACCCCCTGGACAACAAGCCTCAGGAGCTCCATAGTGCACAGTCTGATTGAGTTCCTCCAAACAGGAGGCTCAAAGCTCACCTCTGTTTGTCTGAATGGGATGCGAAACTCCCTTCCCCATGTGAGGTTAACACCATTAGTAAAATAATGTGTAAGCAGATATGTCAAAGGGGCTTCACAACAGGGTCACGTATAATGTCACTGATAAATCAAACCTCCCTCAGGGGGAGGGCTAGCACTAGAGGTGTTTCTATGTGTGAATAAATAAATCTTTAACACTGAATTCTCAAGTGTGCAGAATCATCAGTGTCACTGAGCAGTTTTCTGCAGTCTCCCTGTTGGTGACTGTTAGTACGTATTTTCATGGATTCATTCATCTTGATAATTTTGTGGGACATATCTTTAAATTGTGTCAACCATCTCACAGTAATTCTACTTTTGGGTCTGTGAAGCTGTAACCTTATATGGTGAAACATGTAAATTGTAGCAGATCTATGTTTAGATAGGAGCCAACCATATGTTGTCAACAACTGTTTGCTAGACAGAGAGTCTACATCTGTTACGTATACAAATCAGTGTCATGTCATCTTTATTGTTTTATAGTGATGTACCCAAATGGAAAGGAATTTGTGGGCTGTACCTTCTAGCAGAATATAAGCAACACTGTGTGATGAAGACTTGGCCATTTTGCCATTTTGCCCATGATGGCCACTTTGCCAATGATTGTCAATGATTGTGAGATCTTGGTCAGCATGGGTCAGCGATGGTCTGCACTTTGTCAGCCATGTGTGTTGTGTTTCTGTGTTGTCTGACCATGGCTGAATAAATCTAAGATGATCCACAGTCTGTTTCACGATTTCACCATTGTTCATCTACTACAGAAATGACCCCAACCTAACAGTGACTGACTATTTCCAGCTCATTCATATAGTATTAGATTATTGAAATAAACTATCAAGATGCATAACCCCTATGGCGTAAAAAATGTATGATGATCACTTAGTGCCTAGATTTGTTGACCCAAAATAAGAGAGTGGGTTATCCACATATTGGAGTTCAGGCTTCTCATTTCGACATTTGAATGTTTCCATGTATTTCAAGCATTTATAGTGTTCAGAAGATTATAAGTGATTTATAAATAAACAGTCCTTTTTCCTATTAACCTAGGGTCTGGAGGTGTTGTCTGCACTGGCACTTTCTCAGACGCGTTTGACCCCCAGGTGCTACATCTCGTCTTTGGACTTGAGGGGATTCTTCTCAGGCTCATTAACCAATGTCCATCTGAACCCCAGTGTTCCCTGCATCCTGTGTCAACTGCCAGGCCTCACTTACCTGACCCTTAGTTACTCCTGGCTGTCAGATGAGCTGCTAACGGCCCTCCAGCACAGAGGACAGCAAGAACAGGGTAGAGATGGGAACCCCTTGCAAAGTCTCTCGCTGCACAGCAGTTTGCATGAGCCCCATCAACAGGTAGGCAAGAAATAAAACAAATAATTTGCCAATTGGGCAGCCTTTGGGCCAGCTGACCATCCCCAATAAATAATGCTTACACTGACAGCAGAAGTGTGATTTCACTGAAGAGTGAAAACCATTGACCATGTTCACAAGGTGGCCATTTTCTGGTCACTGTGGAAAGCTGAACTAATATAATAATGTGTTTGACAGGTTGCAAGGAAGGAGTCATATTCATGCTTTTATCAACAACTGTTTGGGCAATGATAGTGAATACTGGGCATTGGGCTAAGAGTCCTAACAATCTAAAAAAAGAAAAAGAAAGAAGTGACAGTGATAGAAGTGATAGTAATTTAACAATAAGATAAAAAAAACAAAAAACACTAAATGTTTTAGTTATTAGTTATTTTTAACAAAAAAGAAGTCCAATGTCCCTCCAGATGATGGTCAATCTCAAAGCAATGAAATAAGTAGTGAGTATAGTTATAGTTATAGAGTATAGTTACAAAATAAGAAATGTCAGTTAAGAGGATCAAAGTGTAAGGACAAACACCTGCAGAATCTGTCATTCTCCCATAATGTCTAAGTGAACTGTTCCTCTCACCAATAATGCTTTTAGAAGAGTATCCCTTGTGTAAATATACGCTAAAATAGCAAGAAGCATCAAAAAATGAAAAAAGAAATTGAAAATGCCCCCCTACCCGCTCTCTCAGGTTTTCATTGTTCATTTCTGTCTCTGCTTCATTCCCCCTCTAAAGCTGGTGTTTGGCAACTCATGGTCAAATTTGGTCTCAACCTGCCCAGAGCTAAAGGTCAGGATCACAGTGGAGCAAGTCATTGACACTAACAGGCTTGCAAGGATCCTGTTGCCTGAGATTCCCCTGACAGAATTCAACATGACAGGTTCCTACTCCACTGACGAAGACTGGAGCGCCAAGCCTGTCCTCCGTGACCTGCTGCCTCAGTACAGACGCAGTCTGCAGGTCAGGGTGCCAAACAAGCAGCAGGACAACTGGGCAGAAAGTGTGGAGAGATGACGTTGTTAAACTTGCATTTTGTGTCACTGGCTGATATTTTGAGCTAAAAGTTGGATTCATTTTGAAGTCCAACCAATCACTACAAAGTGTAAAGAGAAATATTGTTCTTTAAAAAATGTGATATATTATGATTATCACTCACATTTTAATAGACTGATCACAGGCTTGCTTGTGCTGTTGTTGACATTAAATGTTGACATGAAATTAAATTATATAAACCTTGAAAAGAGTTTTTTTTAGGGCAATTGCTGCTACTGCCAAGTTTAAAATAATAATTAATTATTCCATGTCGGGTTTATGACTGGTTCAAATGATATTGGATACATTAGCCAAAATGTGGGTCTTCATACAGAATGTTGTTACTGCCTTGAACACGTGTCGTTTTTTGTTTTAGGCCTATTTGTTGTGTTTTGTAGCTAAAGCAAATGTCCTGCATATTCTGGAAATCCTTGGTCTATATGTTACAGTTTACAAAATACAAATATAACTGATTTCAATTTGTACATTCAGTCAATGAGAATGTGTTGAAGGTAACCTTGATCTTTCCTGTCCATAGTTTTTGTCCCTTGACCTGAGAAACAGTGAAGAATCCCTGGACGAAGAGCTGCTGGGGTTGGTCAAAGTGTGTGAACGTCTGGAGCAGCTGAGAGTCTGGGCTTTCTTGGACTTGAGGACCATGGAGAGGCTGCTGCACATGAGACTGACTAAAAGAAGCTTACTCAACCAGATCAAAGTGAGACAAAAAAAATAATCCACACCACCTGAATGACATTTACATTCATATTCTGAGATAACACTGATGTTGATGTCTTCAAGGTGAGAATCTACTCCATGGAAGATGAAATTGAAGAGAAGGAGGAACAGCTGGAGCAAATATTGTGTCCCTACCTGGGCCTGCCACCTGAACTGGACCTTTATGTCATGGTCTACCCCTTTGTATGAACACAAAGGTGCTTGTGGACAACCACAAAATAAAAAGAATGCAGCATTAAAATCCTCTGTTTTTGCAAATCAATGAACCACATAAATAATAACTGGACATTATAGGTTTGACACTGACTCCCTGTGTCGGTGTTGTTCTGAGAGGGGGTGGGGGCTGAGGGTGGGAACACTGACCTAGTTTCATTATAAATGGTGATTGGGGGAGGCAATGTGTGTATGTATGTGTGTGTGTGTGTGTGTGTGTTTGCCCTGGCATGGAGGGAGAACTATTTAAGGCAACAAGGATTAAGCTGCAACAGTGGTATACCAAACTCCTGATTGTGTGGCACATGACACTGCCTGGGTCCAAATAATCTTTGTTTATTTACTTTATATGATTTAACCTATAAATTATAGGCATTGCACATTTTCGATAGATCAGAGGGTAAATGTACGTGTTACCTATGTATCGTGATGTCCTACTCATGTAACATTCTTGCCCATAATTTAAACCCTTTTTAAATATAAATACTGTGTATTATAAGTGGTTGATTTAATTGTAGTACATGGAATCCAAATGCAACATGTTGCCATATATATTCATCTTTACATCCATCCATCCATCAACAATCTAGCTCATGAAGTACAAATACAACAGTGTAAAAAATTTAATTAGCAATTCAGGTAAATGTTCAACTCCTTCAAAATGAATGAATGCCAACCTGACTTGGGTTATGTTTTCATTTGCAGCTTATGAGGTCAAATGTGTTGTCACATATTGACAGTGCAAGTACAAGTATCTGATGAGAGCTTTAATTCCATTCTCTTAATGCACTGGTGGTAACTGTTGTGGATTGTCATAGCAGCTGACAGTCAGACCACAAATTAGCCTTTGCACATCTCCAAAACATCCTCCTGCATGACTATTGGTCCACAATAGTCATGCCTGGTCACGTGACATGTGTAATGGTATTAAGGAGCGCCCGAGCCAATCGCCTCCTCCATCACCTGACCGCTATTTGAATATTGATGCTCTCTCTCTCTGCTGCCACCACATTGGTCCTGCCCTCTGTGTTGTTGATGTTGTGTGACATTGTCTGGCTGAGATCATCCTCACAACACAGAGAGATTTCACCGACAAAATGTCCTCGCTGCTGAAGCCGTTTTCGGTGTGTGAGGGGCCTTGTGAGAGCTCCGGCGTGAGGAGAGGATCAGCGAGCTCTGCCCCGCATCAGCAGTCTTCAGCCCGGCGTCTGGCCGCCGCGGGGCTCGGCTCTCTGCCGGCTCACCAGCGGTCCTACGCGGCGAGGAGGAACCTGGCGGCCGCTGCAGTCGGAGGGAGGAAAATCACGCATCCTGGAAAGGCTATCCTTGCAGGTGGATATAGCAACACAACTATGTATCTTGCAGACCCCCCCCACCCCGCCCCTCCATAGTCTGCTATTGCTTTTTTTTTTTTTTTGCACAGCACAGCCTAATCTCAGTCTGTCGCCATAAAGGCTATCCATGCAGAACTGGGTCACTGAGCCAGCAGTGATGCTACAGTAGTGCATGATGTAGTTGCATGTTTCCTTTCCATCTTTCTTTATTACTGGCAGTCTATTCATTAAGATGATGTCTGGTAAAATAGGTAATGCAGAAAGATTTACGCTCCATACTGGGGGGGGGGGGGGTGGTTGTCTGTGGCCATTAGCTATTAATTCCAGCTCAATACAGCCACTGCTGTGTAATCACATCACTCAGCATTCATTAAAACACAAAGTATAGATCAAGCATCAGCTCCCATCTGGGCTAAATCCATCTTACCTTGACGATTCTGTATAAGCACACTTGACTCCTGCAACCAGAACATTCAAGAACAATTCTGCCCAGTGATCTTACTGCCATTTTTTTTTTCTAACCTCTCCCCTCCCTCAGGTGGCATAGCAGGAGGAATCGAGATCTGCATCACCTTCCCAACAGAGTATGTCAAGACCCAGCTGCAGCTAGACGAGAGAGCGAACCCTCCGCGGTACAGAGGGATCGGTAGGTCACTGGGACATGTATGACTGCAGGTTTATGTGCCAAGTCTGCTGCTGGGTCACTCACTCGACTCTCCCTGACACTCTCTGTGTGTGTGTGTGTGTGTGTGTGTGTGTGTGTGTGTGTGTGTGTGTGTGGGCAGGTGACTGTGTGAAGCTGACCGTGCAGGATCACGGCCTCAGAGGGTTGTATCGCGGCCTCAGCTCCCTGCTTTACGGATCTATACCCAAGTCTGCAGTGAGGTGACGATGCATTCAATATCTAGAGCATATACACTTGTATTTGAACAATTCAAATATCTTTAATCAGCAGCATGTGAGAGCCGTTGCGTCCTGCATCCATGTTGCAAAACAGAGGGGAAGGGTTTTAATCTTGAAATGTGATGTGTTAACTTCTGTCAAAGCAGTGACACAGCATTTTTTTTGGCATCCAATAAGTTAAAGGCAGCCACATTTGTCGGGTCTATAATATTGTTGATTATTCTGTAGGTTCATTTCCCAATTTATTGATTCACTGCCTGGTCTTCAAAGCACCAGCACCAATTAAAAAAAAACCTGATATGGAAACAACAACAACAAAAAGTCTTATTTTGTCCAACAGTGGGAAAGCTAGAGAGTTCACTGAGTTTGGAAGTTTAATTAACTTAAATTTTGAGGGGAAAATTCATACATTTTAGAAACTGGAACCATCAAATGTTAGCTACAGTTGCTCTGTTTGATCAGTTGTTGTTTCTTAAATCATTTATCTGACTATTAAAAATTTGCTAGTTGCAATGTACAAACTATAACCTGTAGAGGAATCAATACATCACTGCCTCCCTTTTTTGTTTTTTTTCGTCACTATATTCCCTTCTGTCTCTCGCAGGTTCGGCACGTTCGAAATGCTCAGTAACCCGATGCGAGACGCGACAGGCCGGCTGGACAACACGCGGAGCCTTCTGTGTGGTCTAGGAGCCGGCATTACAGAAGCAATCGTGATCGTCTGCCCAATGGAGACGCTGAAGGTCTGTGGACGCTGTTGTCCCCTTCTTCTACTTCTTTCCATGCTCTGAAAGAACAGTGCACTGATCAAATAGCTCCGTCTCTTCCTCCAGGTGAAGCTGATCCATGACCAGTGTTCCCTCAGACCTCGCTACAGAGGATTCTTCCATGGAGTTAGTGAGATCATCAGAGAACAGGGTAAGAGAGCAGGATGAACCCACATGGTAAGAGAGACTCAAACTTAATCTGTTCGAGACCTCATAATGAACTGTGTTTGAATCGCTTAGGAGTGAGAGGGACGTATCAAGGTCTGACAGCGACTGTGCTCAAACAAGGAACCAATCAGGCCATCCGATTCTATGTGATGAACTTGCTGCGTAATTGGTACAAAGGTGAGGAAACATTTTACGGCAGCACAAAATCCAGTCTTTTTGGTCGACATGTCCACTTGTATCGATGCATTTTTCTTCTGTTTTTTTTTTTTTTCATTTTCCTTGGATCCAATCTCCGGCTTCTTTAGGTGATGACCCCAGAAAAGAAATGCACCCAATCGTCACAGCAATGTTCGGGGCGACTGCAGGAGCTGCCAGCGTCTTTGGAAATACACCTCTGGATGTGGTGAAGACGAGGATGCAGGTAGAAAGCACAATATGTGATGTTTTTTTTTTTTAATCACTCTCCTCCTCTGGTCTTCAAATTCAAGACTTCAAGAGTATCTGTTTGTTGCAGGGTTTGGAGGCGTATCGGTACAAAAACACAGTGGACTGTGCCTTCCAGATCTTGAAGCAGGAAGGACCTCAGGCGTAAGTTGACCCTGATCCTGCTCCTGGGTGCCATTTCACTTTGAAGACGGGACAAATCATCCTGATCTCTTCTTCTGCTTCCCACAGGTTCTACAAAGGAACGGTTCCCAGGCTGGGCAGGGTGTGCCTGGACGTGGCCATAGTTTTCGTCTTATATGAGGAGGTGGTCAAACTTCTGAACAATGTGTGGAAGACCCAATAGACCCCCCCGTGGACAAGGGGGGACAGATCCAGAGGGATGCACAGACCAGTGCCTCATGCTACGCACAACTGAACACCTCTATTCTACTTCATCTCGGCTCTCTGCATTTCCCTGAGCTTGTGACATCTTCACCAGTTTGAATATTACAAATCTGTGATTTAAAGGACCTATTCTGAACAACACGAAAAGAAAAAGGAAGAGCGAATCTGAAAGCCGTTTTCCAGATCACGCTTTGGAATCGAGAGTGATGATTCTTACTCTGAAGGAAAAAAAGGGAAATGAAGTACCTTAGTGATGTGTTATTCTTTGCTTCTGACCAAACTTGTAGACTCCACCTCGAGTCTTTTGACCAGAAAAAAAAATACGAGTATGAAGAGAAGATCACATATTTATTACCAAAGTTTAGAAACAGGCAAGACAACGAGCAAGTTTTAAAGGGATATTACATATTTCTGGTGTTTCAGCTTTGTATGACTGTTGTTGCCGTGCGTGTTAACACTTAGCATCAAACCATAAATGTGTCTTTTGATCCACTGAATACTTGACGCGATTACGTACATGACACTGAGCAGGAGAAGCGTCTGGAACACCAAACCGGCTCGCTGCAGCACTCCCAACACGCGCTGGTGTTGTTGTTACAGCTTCCTCGATTGTGCTTGTGTGGCCTCATCAAACTACAACATTCAGTGCTTTGCTCGCTGTTTGCTCGATATATCGTGCATTGTGCATTTCATGGCCGCTGCTTACAACAGAGCAGCTGCTTACAGATGTTTTCATCATGTAGCAGCTGTCCTGTTACACTCTGACAACAAAAAAAAAAAAAAAAAACTGGTCTGGGGCTGGCTGTTCCTCATCTGGAAATTGCTATAGAGAGCCCCCCCCTCCCCTCAGATACATTCATCATTAAGTTGCACTCACATTTTATGGAACAAAAACACACGTAGCACAACCTTCACATGCAGTCTTATGATTAGGAGTAGTGTAGGTGGTTGCGTTCTCTACAGCAGATTATGAAGGCTTTCCTTGGAATATTTATTTGAGACCGTCACAGCTGAAATCTCAAAGTGATTTCACCTCTTCAGAGAATGATTTTTCCGACTGTTTAAGCCATATGAATTTAGTGATTCTCTTGTGCTCCTTTATTCAACATACTCTCCTGAAGTCACTTTAATGTTTGTGTTTTTTACCTCAAGCTGAACCTGCTTCATCTGTTTTTTGGTTTTTTTGTACACTTAACTGATGAACCCGTTATTTATCTTGGATTGCACTGGCTCTGTCTATTTACAGTGTTTACATGTGCTGGAGGATATTGCAGACAGTAAATGTGTCACAGGCTCGACTACATTAGTGAGAGCGATTAGGCAAGGCTTGGTTTTGATAGACCTCGTGGCACCACACAGCCTTGCACAGAAGCCTTTTGATCCTCTTTGCCAAACTACTGCGGTAGAATCTCTAACGTAACATCCCTGTTATAGGAGCGAATGGTTTAATACGATTTTAAACTCAGAGCTACAGAGTTTTGTTTAATCTTCATGTCTCGACTGTTTTGTTTTCATTAACTAAAGAGCATCGTTTGTATTGTATTACTGTTTTGCTGCTTTTCATAAACAGGTGAGCGGTAGAGCATATCACATTTGTTATCGCCCATCAGATCATAAAAGGTCCTGTTGAGCAGATTGAAGGTCATGTGTGATGGTGATGGTAAATCACATTTTTTTTTAATGAAATCAGTGTGCTAAGTTAGAAGTGATCCGATGTGGAAACCCCCCCCCTCATGAAAACATGGTTTTAATAAACATGTGAATGGTTACTTACGTCTTCGTAATTCTTCTTCTGATCTGATCTGATCTGACATCGGTATGCGGTACTGACGTGATTTACATATCTGACTGACGGCACAGATCGAGAAAGATCATTGGGCATTGAAACACTCTCAACTAACAGTCTCAATTTAAAGACTTTCATACTGAACTGCAAAGTGCTCACAAATCGTCTACATCAAGACATTCAGAGATGGAACAGCTCCTTTTATGTGATGAAAAGTACAACTCTTGCAGTTCAGTTTAAGATATTTAATTTGGAAACCTCAGTTTCTGCTGCTTCCTGTTCAAACTAATGTATCTGGAATCATTTATTTATTTAATGTCTTTGCTATATGAATAAGAAATGTAATGCTGGCTTTACTACAGCTTTGTGTGGCCTTACACATAATTCCAACAACTACAAAACACTATTATATATATATATATATATATATATGTTTACTATATCAGAATCCACATTAGTATCGGTACATATGTATCATAATCGGATCAGAACTGAAAAAAGTGTTTTGTGCATCTCTGATGTAAAGGAGTTTGTATTATAATGAGTTATGTACAATATAATTATTGGTGGTCCTTCCTCTTGAAATGTCAGTACTGACGTCAGTGCATGCCACATTATTTACTGATGTCTGATTAGCCCCGAACATAACCTGTAAGGAGCTACAGCTAGTGTTTATCTTTTCCTTAATGCTGATGATATATTCATATTGACTAAATCGTAAATTCAAAGACACAATCTTGAAGGACGCTCTGTTGGTCTGTGTACTGAATGCAGGAAGAGACTGAGCAGCTGGCAGTACTGAAGATGAAATGGTCTATGACCTTTGAACTCTGAAACACTACAGTAACAACCGTATACTTGTTCTAAGGTTACATTTCATTAATACAATCAATACTAATTGGAAGAGGAACAAATGCCATATAATCAACTTTTAAACCTTCTACATGTAATCATGAGATGCTTTAATGATGTTTTTAATGATTTTTATTTCTAAATG